TATTTGTATAGGAATCAATTGAAAAGTTAGCGGCAACATTTTACTTCATTGTCAATATGAACACAAAAAAAATTATAACATAGTTATTGCAATTTACCTACATTTTGTAATAATGCAGAGAAAATAAGCCCTACTCAAAAAGTCAAACATCAAAAGACCCTAATCACTATTTTCAAACCACATTTACTATACAATAATCTATGTACATTTAAATGCATTCACAATAATCTATATAAATGCATTTCATCTCAAAGTGATAAGAAGTCAGCAACTTACTTGCTGGTCTCTGCAAATCAGGGTGGTCAGGGAACTTTGTCCTGAGGTGATTGAACAATATGTAGCTGTTCACTACTGCAACATCCACCATGTGAAAAAATAGCACTTTCCACCATTTCCTGCTCCTCTGAAGTATGTTGTACCTGAAAGTAAATCAAAATGTCTGATGTGAAAATCAGAAAGAGCAATCAAGTTTCATTTCCACCTGTAAATGGTAGGCCTATGGTATTTTTACTATTTTGGAACAGAATAATTTACTTACTAAGACACATGCAAGATAACCCATATTTATTGATAAAATCAAAATGTCTGATGTGAAAATCAGAAAGAGCAATCAAGTTTCATTTCCACCCCACCTGTAAATGGTAGGCCTATGGTATTTTTACTATTTTGGAACAGAATAATTTACTAAGACACATGCAAGATAACCCATATTTATTGATATTGGTCCATCTGTTTTGAAATGTAGAATGCATGCTGGAATAAAATATCAAAACCATCAAATTATTTACCTTGCAATCAACTGGTCAGACTTATCCACCCCTCCCATTCCATTATTGTATGCAGAAATAATGTTTGGCCTTCTCACCAGCGTTTGTCTCCATTGACCTGCTTGCTTCACCATACGTCTAAACATATAAATAGCAGTAGCCTAAGTTAGAAATTAGCATAATCAAACATTTATAATTTACAGGGTAAACTGTAAAGTTAGTTCTGCAATGTCAATCATATGGGAACTGTCACAAGTATATTTCAGCACATATGAAAAAAGAGCACAGAGTTCTGAGAAAATTGTTGAGTGTTGAGAAAATTCTGATTTCTATCAAAAGCCTTATGCTTACCTCACAAAATCATGTTGGGATACTGATCCAAAAGATGATAGCATGGTCACCAGTTTGGAATCTTTCCACTGAAGAAAGCACAGCCTATCTTGCCTAACATACCTGACATTACCTAGAAAAATACATTAAATGTAAAGTTAAACTTCATGGTGAAATATGAGCTATTGGTAAGAAATAAATACAGTTCAATACTATCTCAATTAGCAAGTTTTATGGCAATGAACATAATATCACTAAAATGTGAATAAACCCACAGTTCTATTATTCTCAACATTCTTTTCACAAAAACATGTTCGTTACCCTATATTATAACAGCATTATCAAGGGAAAAAATTATTTCAAAACAGAAAATTGATACTTTAAGTGTAACGTTAAATGATCATATAAGAAATAAATATAATTCTATAAGTAATAATAATATTAATACATAACTGGTAAATGTGTTAATATAAAAATGTTATCAAGAATAAAGCTGAAAACTAAGCCATCAAACCATTTCTAACCAACAAGCCCAACAACAAACCAACAATGACCCTGGAAAATCTAGCCTAAGACTACCTCTGTTAGGTTTGACCCATTTATGTTTCAATGTCTGAGGAACGCCGACCCTGTTTTCACGCATAGTACCACAACAGTCTGTATTGTTATATACCAGTTCATTTGCGAGTGCGACACTACTGTACCAGTTGTCGTAAAATACACGATATCCCTGGTTTAATAGGCCCTGCATTAGACTCATGACCGCATCGTAAGCAACTCCATTGTCACCTATTGGTTCATTGTTTTTGCCAGTGTAGACTTTGAATTTGAATGTATATCCTGAGTCCGTTTCGGCCAAAACAAACAATTTAAATCCGAACCGGACAGGTTTGTCCTTATTGAATTGCCGAAATCCACTGTGATGTTTTGATCTGACCATGCGTTCGTCTACTGACACATTTTGATCTGGTTGAAAGAGTTCAATTGAAACATTCTGAATATGGTCGATCAAATTGCGTATTTTTCTTAGTTTATCCTGCACAAATGGGACCTCTCGTGTTGGATCTGATATGTGAAGAAATGCCAAAATTGCCTGAAACCTTTCTCTGGACAAAAACCTCCTAGCCCATAGTCCATTGTACAATGTCTTCAATGACCAGTACCTGTCAATCGTTGCCACATCAACAAATCCCATATAAATCAATATAGCAATGAACTGTCGAATTTCTGGGACAGTTACATCTTGCCAGCCTCCATCAGCAGAAGAATATGATGGCTTGTCTAAGATATTTAACCAGGCATAAAGGTTTGTGTTGATGACTATTTCTTGTAAAATGACATCTGAGAAGAATAGTGAAAATATGGAAAGGGCAGAGGTAAACTGCAGTAGACCATTACGGGTAAGCCTTCCAAGTTGGATGCCTGGCTCTTTGATTGGACGAAATTGAAATGGGTTGGGGGCAATATCATTTTGACCATACCCGTATTTTATCTGGTCATTAGCCACATCCCGGGGCAAAGGTCTTCCTTGTGCTGCATCTCCTCCTGGACCAGGGGCATCAGGTAGGCTATCATCAGAATCAACACCATTGTCAGCAAGACTGTCATCAGAATCAGTATCATCATCAGCTGTAGAATCAGCATCACTATTATCAATTTGCCTAAAATGTTGAAAAAGCCTGTTCAAATATCATAGATTTTGAAAATTTTGCCATGGGATGCAGGTAGTATGAATTGACATGGAAATCTGGGTAAAAGAAGCAATATTTATAGATATTAACAAATAAAGAAGCAACAGTCATATTTGTATACTGGTTAACTGATTCTGTTTATTGAAGCAGATAGATAGAAAAGTGCGTAAACTTGAATGTACCCTATTATCGCCCACTCGCGATGGACCGGAAGTAACTTATTCAGCAATTTTATGGACATTTCATCGCTATTTCCTATGGTAAAATACCATGTTATGGTACTTTGTATTTTGAAAAAGGTTGGTAATCAGTCTTTTCCTCGCATAATTACTTTTTTTCGTGTTTTGCTTGCAAAAAGTTTTTTTTTCATTTTTTGAAACTGACAACAACTGACGAACAACACAATCATCTTACATTTTACATACCTAGCTCTCATAAAATCCTCATCTAATTGGTTCTCCTCATGCTCTGGTAAACCATCTTCATCACTAGAGTCCCCATCAAGTGAAAACCCGTCTTGAAAGAACTGTAAGGCTCTTGTTTTTGCATCTCTAGCAGGGCGTTTTAAATTTTCCGCCATTTTGACAAGTGCATCACGGGAAAAATCAACAAAGTCGTGTTTTCAATTTTTTTTTTTTCTTTATGTTTTTTTCATGTTAAACCTTATTATACATCAAAAAAGTACATATAATCAACAAAGTAAGTATAAATCTTCAATTTTATACAATTCATGATGGGTGTCACCCTGACATGCCTCTAGACGCTGGTCCAGAATACCATCGTCAGATTGCTGACGAAATAGCATGGGGCCGTAGTGAGTGGGTTAAGTTGCACAAGAATCCTGCCATGACAGTGATAGTGTTATCGTGAAAGCCTGGTATAACCGTGACAGTGCTATATTATATTGCAGGGCCTGTCATGACCATGATAATGTTAATGACTGATTTGACCATGACAATAGTTGCAAGCCGTGGTAACGTAGTGGGGGTCGTAGGATGCGATAAAGGTAAAAACATGCACCTCAAATCAGAGATGAAGATTTACACAATGTATGAAGATTTACATGATGACTGATACACGTGCATTTGATGTCAAAATGAGTTGACAGACACAATAAATGTAGCTTCTGTATTTTCAAAAAGATGGCCAAATGAAAACCCTGGGGATTTTTGAATGGAATGGAAGTTTCCAAAAAATTGAACAAATTTCAAACACATAAATTTTCATAATAATCAAGCAAAATAAGGATATAGTTACGACAAATACAATGAAATGGTTACAACTATACACAGGTTTATCATTTTGGAAACATTATTTACCTGCCACTTCACAATCAGTCTTTTTCGCGGTTGGCTCTCCACATTCTCAAAATTCATTTCGTCCGTTGCGTACCTTCACTACCTCTCTGACGTTGTTAAAATAGTTCTAAAATTCCCGGGGCACGATCTTAGAAAGCTTCAGAAATTAGTACTTTCTTTATTACGAAATCAACAACGCCAAAACTTTAATATAACATTAATCATGACGTTTACAAATGATTTTACCATCGAAATTGGTAATCAATGTTGTATTTGATGTGTTTTAAGTAAAAATCTCTGCGGAGCAACAAATTGTAAAATGTCAAGATCGATAATCACTGGGTTCAACATTATTACACGATTTCAAGATGGCGGTGTCAAAATTTTCCAAAAACGCTTCAAATAATATTATGTTAATTTCTGGCGAGTTCACCAATATCATAACGTGTTATCTAATAACAAGATAAAGAAATATGTAACAAATTCAATTTTATCGATTAAAACATCACATCGACATGTGGTATTCGTTTATTAGACGATTAAAATTACGAATATGGGGATGACGTCACTTCAAAACGAACTGCATAGCAACGGTGTTAATAAACAATTTCTGACCTTGCAAATTCCTAAGTATTCATTTTAACAGTTTGTTACGAATTCCTTAATATTTTTCTTATAAATGAATTCTTACTACATTAGAAATAAACATTCTATAAAATACAACGAATAAAATCAGTAGCAAACGCAAAGAAATATATTTTTTTGAAGCAGGTCAAAATATTTAGAAGGGTACATTTCGCGGGAATTTAAAGATCTGCATGAGGTAAGGCACAGGAGGTACGGATGGCACTGGACGAAAGGCTCGGAGACTGGGCTCTCCAAAACAAAACTTGAAATTTGCTAAAAAGTATGGTAGATGGCGCTTTTCAAACACTTCCGGTAAGAAATCTACACAAAAAATCCAGGTAAAAACTTGTTTTAATGCATCTTTTGAGTGATTATGTGAAACTCCAAGGGTATTCCATATTGGTTTATATGTCTAGGAGTCATGCCTCGTCATGATATATCGAAGATACTTCAAACTATCGTGAAATATACAAGTTAAGAAAATTATAACATATTATCGGCCATAAAATTCATTTTCTTGTTTTTGATTGTTCTTTTTTGGAATTTCAAACATTACCTATTTAAATTATCATAAGTTACAACTTCGAACCAAAACAAGAAATGATTTTCACATATGATATATAATTGTATAGCTATGTAGGTTGAAATTGTAGATCTGGATATTTGTATCTGAAGAAGAAGAAGTGTTTATTTAGAAGAAGGGATCTAAAGGGCAGGATTTCTGCTTAACTCTTTCCAACTTTTACTCCAAAGTCAATGCAGATCAGGAGCTGATCCAGGATTTTGTGTTGGGGGGCGTTTGATAATAACTGTGAACAAAGCGAACCGCGTGTATGATTAATTGTAGCGAACGAGCACAACAGGGGGTTTGAAAAATTTTTGCGCATTCTGAGCAATTTCAGAGCGAGAATAGGGGGTCTGGGGGGTTCTCCTCCCAAAAAATTTTTGAAGATTGAACATCATTTGGTGCATTCTGACCAATTTCAGATCGTAGGTCTATTCTCGGGTCTGATTATAGCGTATGCAATGCGTTATTAACATTCCATAACCAGGTATTTTGTTTTCCAGTTAAAATTCAGACTTTTTAGGGGGACATGCACCCCCAAGCCCCATCTTAATCCACTAGTGCAGATTAGGTTAATTTACATAGAAACTGGTTAATTTGGACTATTTTTTAATTGTACCTAAAAAAGGTATGATATTGTCATCAGCTTGGCGGGTGGGCGGAGTCTCACTTTCTTGTCATCACGATTCCAGGAAAACTACTTGACAGAATTACTTCAAATTTTTACACATGTTACATGGTAAAAAGTTCTAGAGCTGATTAACTTTTGGGTGGCCATCTTGCATTCTGGCGACCATCTTGGAAGTTTTTAAATAAATATTGTCATCGCGATTCCAGGAAAACTACTTGATGGATTTGCTTCAAATTTTCACACATGTTACATGGTAAGAAGATCTAGATCTTGCATTCTGGTGGCCATCTTGAAAGTTTTTAGATAAATCTTGTCATCATGATTCCAGGAAAATCACTCAACGGATTTACTTCAAATTTTTACACATGTTACATGGTTAGACATTCTAAAACTTTTCGGCAGCCATCTTGCATTCTAGGTCTAGGCCCACACTGCTTTGTTTTAGGTATAATATTGTTCACCCTGTGCCTTATTCTTTCTAGGTGGCTTTGAATGAACACAGAAGTGGATTTTTGTAGCAGATCCTTAGATCCCTTCTTCTGAATACACACTAAAATACATTATAAAGGATGTAAATAGTTCTCTCCATGATTTCCCTGATCTTTACAATCAGAGTTGTAGTAACAATGACTTGTTGAATGTCATGTCTCCATTGCCTTACTACCAGTCAACTCTAGAGCATGGTCTGAACCTTCTTTTAAATCTCTCATCCTCTCTTATATTTACAGTGAGACGTAAACTATGTCCCTGCAATATTAGTCCAGTATGGAAACAGAAGATCAACAGCGTTATAGGTTCCAAGTTGAACTGGAGTTTGTGCAGTGTCTAGCCAACCCTAACTATCTGAACTTTTTAGCTCAGAGGGGATACTTCAAGGAAAAGAATTTCATCAACTACCTCAAATATTTACTGTATTGGAAGGAACCTGACTATTCTAGGTACGTACCATGTGATATGATAAAAAATCTTGAATTTTGTGGCTTACTCTTTTGTTTCATTGATTGAAATGCTGATTTAAGGAGAAAACCACTTTTGAACATGTAGAAATATTGTAATTAAAATCTGAATAAGTATTCAGTTTCCGCTAATATTAAATTAAAAATAGTCAATATGGCCATGCTTATCTGAATAAGCCTTGAAATGATAGTACAAAATCTTGAATTTTGTGGCTTTGACTCTGTTGTTTCATTGATTGAAATGCTAATTCTAACTGCCATGCTTTTTCAAATCACAGAACTTATACCATGGAAGCATATATCGTATATGTGCATTTTATTGAATTCATAATCATGGTGTTTCTAGAGACAATAATTGTGTGAAAATTATACTTCCTAGGTTTTTAAAGTACCCTCAGTGTTTGTACCTACTGGAACTTCTCCAGTACGAACAGTTCCGCAAAGAGATTGCCAACGCTCAGTGTGCTAAGTTCATAGAGGATCAGCAACTGCTACATTGGCAACACTACGTGAAGAAAAGAACAAAACTATTGCAAGCAGAGGCTGAGAGACATCAACAGTTGCAGACCAAACAATAGTGGCCAGTTATTAGGTAATTATGTTGTAACACCGAAGTTCAAAGTAATATGTAGGTTCTTGAATCTTGACTCTTTAATGCTTATCTGTTTTCCACATAGGTCTATGGTGACATCTATGAATCCTTCTATTATATAAAATGTTTATGTTTTAATGTCATCACCACAACTGGTGACATATTGTTATATACTCAAACTTTTTTGTGGATGGTGGTCGATAGTTGGTGTTTGGCATTCGGCGGTCGGCATCTGTAACAAATAGTAGGTGGTGACATTTCGCATAGTAGGTGGTGACATTTCGCACTTTCATTTTGATTAAAAAAACATGTGCTTTAATTTTCAGTTATGTCAATCAACTTCTGTCTTCCTCCATTCAAGCCTAGGATATCCTGCGATAAAGTCTGTGCAGATGGATATGAAGTGGAAAACTTAGTTAGAAAAACTGGTTTGTTTATGAGCAACAGTGGCTTCATGGTTGAGAGATTCATAAAGCCCCCAGTATGTGTTACGGTAGAATTCCCATGTAATGTAGACTTACAGAGTGTCGTTATAAATCCCATAGTTGGAGGACAGAAATCATGTGGTTTTGAGATATTAACTCAGTCATCCTTCAATAGAGGGTGCTGGCTGATGGATACAGATAAATGTCCAGATTTGAAAGTAAGTTCTTCATCCGATACTTTTTATCCGATAGGGAAGATATACACGGATGAACCAAAAATGATACGTTTTGTAAATAGAAGCAATAGGCAAAGAATGAATCAAAGCCAAATTTCTGTGAATATGAACAATTGCATAGAAGGCGATTTGAGGCACCATAGGGTGGCGACACTCAGATCTGTGAGTCATGTGATGATCAGGATCACAAGGACATTGGCGGGAGCTATACCTGGTATGAAATCTCTAGAGATTTGGGGACAACCAGCTCTATGTACTCCAAGACAGTTAACCAACCTCATTCAACAAATTAACTATAATATCATCAACATCAACCCACATCCTGCAGTTAGTGTGCATGATAACACATCTGAATCCAGCCCATGTAAAGCAGACATTGATACAGCACAAAAGGCAAGCCTTCCAAATGATGTTGAGATTCCACCAGAGTTTATTGATCCATTGACCATGGAGATAATGGCACTTCCTTCTGTGTTACCATCAGGCCATACCATCGACCAGTGCACCCTTGATAAATACATAGAATACGAGGCTCATTGGGGACGTTCCCCAAGTGATCCTTTCACTGGTGTAATCTTCACAGACAGCCACAAGCCTTTACTGAATGCTGGGTTAAAATCCAGAATTGATCAGTTCCTATTGACCAACAGTGATAAGGACTCTTTGAAACATGTTGGTAGGACTCTTGGTCATAATAATGATGATACTTTTACATCAGTTGGAAAGAATCTAGGAGGAACTTCGAGCATTGCAAAAATACCTATACCTAGCTATTCCTCAAGTACTCAAGGTGCTCAAATGGAACATAAAGACACCGGAATTAGATGTAATGTATCAAAGGAAAGTACAATAACCCCACTGAAGAGATCTCATACAGATATAATTGATCTTACAGATGAAGATCAAACTGAACATAAACCTACAGCTGCAAAGGTACAAAAAGTAGAGTTTAAGTCTAATGCCAAAGGAACACCTTCCCATAGCACCAAACTTAGTGATAGTCTAGACCAGGCACTAAGCTCTTCCCTAAATTACCTGCCTACATATAGCAAGTTTGTTAAACCTGCTAAAGATCTGTCTAAACTATGTGCACAGTGTGATAGTGAACCAAAGCCTAATGGCAAGTATAAGATCACATGCGGACATATTATATGTAGGGACTGTTTAGTAGGAAGGAAGTCTGGTAAATGCAAGATATGTAAGATAGATTTCCTATCAAAAGATGTTCAAAAGTGTCATTAGTTTAAAGTTTTGTATTTTTGCACTGAAAACTGGAAATGCAATACACTACAATATGTTTTGCCATGTCATATTTAGGAACCTTCCAGCATTTATGTTAAAATAATGGAACATGTTGAAATTGTTCAAAATTAATTTAAAACTGAAATATTGTTGTAATTTGTTGTAAGCATATAATAGGTGCATATATGCACCCATAGGCCTTTATATGTCTTCAGCTTTTAAGCAAGGTCAAGGTCACCTGAAAGGTTATAGGTCAGTACCTGCCTACTTGATAACACTTGGAAAACATGTAGGTCATGTAAGGCACATTAAGAAGTATAGGTCTATGGAGGTCATCTTTAAGGTCAGAGGTTATTATATGGGTATTTTATATTTTGGCAATTTTGTTTAATTGAGGTCATGGTCATCTCATACATGATATTTCTGTATCGAAGGTAAAGTGAAGTTTTAGCTTGTATTTACGAATGCAACTAACGGCTGACGGCTACCGGACCAGCCAACTATTTTATGACCAACTCATTTAAATATGAATGGAATTGTGGCAGGAGCTTTTCATATTTAAATGCGTTGCCCATAAAATAGTATGGTAATCCAGTAGCCGGCAGCCGTTTGTTGCATTCGTGAATACACCAAGGTCAATGTATAAGTCAAAGGTGATATATATGTTTTTATGTTTTTTTCCTGGTATATGGTGAAGTGTTGTCGCTTGAAAGGTCTGTGCTAGGCATCAAGGAAATGGGTAGCCTGTTGGAAACATTATAATAAAGGTATTCAAACATCTTTTTGTAAAATAAGCAAATGGGTTTTGGAACTGGTTAAATGGGATTAATTGAAATTTCTGTAACTATAAAATAAAAGCAGAAATCATGATTAGATTACCAAAATGTCACTTTAGGAGATGAAATATAAGCCATTCAAATTCAAAATGTGTATTTATTTTTGTATCATTACAAAGTACTAATAGTAGTACAAAGTAGTCATCCTATTAACCCTCAGTTACATTTGCTGTATGGTGACTGTAGCTTCATGAAATTGATATAGAAAATCTACATCGAACTACTTATTCCTATATGTTATGCTGCATCTTTTATCTCAATTTTTGGAAGCTACAGCCACTATATGGTTGCCATAGATCAAATCTGAATGGGGCATCAAGCTTGACTTTCAGAAATATTTACTTAATTTGCCGAAAACAAACGTTCTTTGGCTGACAACAACTTTTATCAGCTTAGTTTCTTTATGAAATTCTCCACTTCAATTTTGATGATATTTATAATGGTTCAAAATATTCAAGTCTTGGACATCTGTAAATATGATTGTGAGATTGGTACTTATAATTTGGACCTCTTGTGATCCTGTACATGTACATACATATGAACAATATTCTTCTAAGCAAATTTCATATAATGCATAATGTCATAATTCTGAATGCAAAATTTCAAATGCATTTCAAGTGCAAAAATACATTCATAAAGTTCTTGTATATAAAGGAAAAAATAAAAGAACTTAACACACACATTAGATTTATTTTATTATTTATACTGTTAATATAATATATATTTACTGCAATTCATAAAGGAACCTGGATTGTGATTACTATTCACATAGGCCTACATGTCAAATATAATGATCACAGACACACCAAATGTCAGCCAGTATACAGTAAAACCTGTGTATTGAGTGAACAATTTTGCAGCCACATGCATCGTTACAAGTTTGTATTCACTTTAGTGAGAATTTTTATGAAAAAGTCAATGGTGTATGTCTTAAGAAATGTTCTTCATAAAGGGCAGGTATTCTCTAGAGATGTGTTCAATAAGATTGGTTTTACTGTAGTAATACTTTCAACATGTGTAAATGGTTCCAATAATTTAACACCCTCAGTCACACAACACTAATCATCCGCCACTATAGTTAATGCTTTGATCTGTTTTAATGTGTCCTGAGTCCTATGATGTATTTGTTCAGAGTTTGAGATATCACCGGTCTCGTTTGCCATCTCTGAGTAGATTTTTAAAGATTCTGTGTAATAATTTGCCTGGAAATAGAAAATGAAGAATTCGGAAATGGAACATTATGCGATGCATTCACATGACAAATTTTGAACACCTGGTTGGAATTACAAAAGTGTTACTAATTTTTGCTGATGCTGAATGCCAATTTAAAAAAACATTACCTGAGAATTTACAAGTACTGCTAAACAAGGCTTGAAGTAGTCCTCCCGGTAGTCGTACATACTTGGCATTACACGCATCGTGTGTTTGTGATTTCTCTCGTACTCATCTTTAGACCGCACTAGGCCTTTTTTATACTAAATAAAAAAACAGACAAAAACATAACTTTTGGATAAATTAGAGAAACTTTGATATATTGCCCAGCTTAAAGATGTCATTTGTTGTAGTTTTTAAGATTAGCAGTAAGTTAATATCATTCAATCTTAGACAAGGTGAGGTCCCAATGATCAATATAGAAGAGTGATATTTGGCAGTTGTACTTACTGTATCTAATTTAACTACATTGGCTCCAGTTCTATCTTTATCCTGGTATTTGTCGACTTTAGCCTGACTTTTATTGTATTCATGAAGAGCAGCCTCTCGCTTCTTTATAGCACTATACACCTGAGGGAAGTGGCCGATATATCTGTAATACAATGTGAAGAAAATATTTTGGAATGATGTCATGGAGATAATCTGACAAAAGCAAAAGAGAGACAAGGCATTGACATTTGTTAAAGACGCCAACTACAGAACACCAACTGTCAAACACCATCCGCAAAAAAAGTTGGAGACTATAACAGAAGCAGTGACATAAAAATACACAAAACCATAAAGTAACTTAAAGGCAAAAGTTAGCTTTCTCTCTCATTTGAATGGTACTCAATGTATTTTCAAATCCTATAATTTTCTAGTTAATTTGTCCATGCCAAATTCAGGACATCTATGGAAAACTGCAATTTTTTGAAGGAAACCCTAACCTGCCAGAAACGAAACTGGCCTTGTTTTATAAAACAAGCAAGTAGTTAAACTACAAATCACAGATAAACAACTTTAGAGTTAATTTTACATAAAGGGTTCTAACCCCTCTCCAAAAATATACATCAAGTAATAAAAAATATGTTAACTCACTTTTTGATTGGTTCTGAAACACCTTTGTGGCAGTTAAAAGTCTGAAAATGGAATTAAATGTTGAATAAATATGTTTAATTCAGATAATAATACATTGGGTAAACTTTTGATTTGATCAGAGAAAGGAATTTGACAGAGTTTCAATTCAGACAGAGTTAGCTAATTATCTTCTACCATGTAATGCTAAAAGACTCATGGAGATTTATTGTCAAATGATATTTTACCCTGACCCTATATACATGTACTTACTTTATTATTTTATAAAATAAATCTTGAAATAAAAAAGCTTTGCCATCAATACATTTTATTATTACATACCAATACTTTTTGTTGATTTTCCAGTCTCTGTGATGCTCTGTTCCATTCATCTGCATAGTTTCTTATTCCCTTATTAGACTCATCTGGCTTGAATTTCACCTTAAGGACATCTTGAGACACCCTACTTTCAACCTTCGTCATGGCTATTAAACACAACAGAAAAATCATCAGCCATTAGGTTAGCCAATATCCTGGCATTTCATACAGCGTGATTGCGCTTCATGTTACATTGATGAAACGCTGGGAGAATGGCAAATTTTAGAAAATGTAGCTACTAAAAAGTTGTAATAATCAAGATTACAGGAACATATATTTTTATCTGACTTGTAACAAAACATGCAAGATTCCAATTTTTCCTATTTTCTTTGAGATAGCCAAGAACATCTGTTTTACACTACAATGTACTGTCTTATTTCTAATAAAAGTCTATGTAACTTAAACAATATCTACATGTTATGAAGCATTGTCTTAATAGCTACAGTACATGTATATCATTTTATTAATTAAAACTGCATGTCACAAATCAAGCGACAGAATGGAGCAGCTGTATATAAATATAAATTAGCATATTGTGAATATATTTTGGAATGTAAAAGTGTGTAATAATATTAAATGTTAAGAGACCAAATGAGCATCATAACTGCCAATTTGACTTTTTGCAATCTTTGTACCTTTAGTGAATTATTTGGGTGGTTTTGCGAGATTAACAGTTTTTTGATTGAACGCATTATTAATTAATTAAGGTTTTTACCTTTGGTTTTAGACCATTTTAACATGTTTGATTATTTTGTATATTATTTTTCATGCTCTAGATACCAAGATGCCAGTAGATAGTTCCTAGTTTCACCAACAGGTGGCTAACGCAGTATCATGAACTTGAATAGAAACAGATTCAGTGGACCTTTCTTTTGAGTGTGATAATTGTATTATTTAAAAAAGTTTCAATAAATAAATAAATATATTGTACTAATTCATTGCAACAAAAATGAATAATATTTTATTTTCATGATTTTATGGGCTCATTGGGGGAATTTACCCGACCCAGAAATTACATGTGAATATTAAATCGTAATTAAGATTATATGTACTAGCATCTAGTCTGTTAATTACAGGATATAGAAACCCTGAAAGGAAAAGCCAAGAAGAAGAAACATGCACACTGAGAGATAACCAGTCACCTAAAAAAGATTGAACAGTTCATTACAGTTGATTAATCCATTGTTCCTGTAAATGATGCAGAAACACGTCTAATTAATGTTCAACGTCATATCTGCCCCAACCCAATGTTTAAGTAAGTATTAAATATCCTTTCACCAAATGATTAATGATAATATACATGTACATGTATTACCCTTTTAACCATCATTCATTAGTATTATTTACATAGATACATAAAGATGAGCAGCGCAAGCTATTAACTAAGACCATGTACGGATAGTACAATTAAAGCTCAGTACAGGTTGTGCCAAAAGTAACAGGACATGTGCTGGTATTTTGTTAATAATACACCAGTCACTTACAAAAGGCATTAACATGCAACATGTCGCCACCTCCCATATGATACAAATGCTGACCACCAAACACTGTCCACAAAAATAAAATAAATTTGTGGTGGTGATATTAAAATGTACATTATGCAAAAATTAAAATAAGATTCGGGTAGTTTTAACAAAATGGCAGCACCAGTCCTGTTACTTTTGGAACATGCTGTATTTCATTATCTATAGCACCCTGTAGGCCTGTATATCGCACCTTCCGGATCTAAGTGCCAAACAGTAGATTTTAAAAGTCCAAGTGGCTGCTGGGACATTGACTGAGATGTGTCCATGAGATTGATAGACTCACACAGATGTAAGGTTAAACTGCATTCACTTCGAGAAGCAACTAGAAATGTTAATTGACAACAAAGTATATCACAAGCAAAATAAATATTATTTCAGATATAAAATACTAGTCAATTAAAGGCAGAATCTGTCATGTACAGGGTGAACAAAGTGCAAGCAATATTTACGATCAAATAGATTTACAATCAACTAGATATCAAATCCCATTTAAGATCTGATAAACATCAGTACTTTCGATACTTTCCACGATCTTAATATGATAATTTCCAATAAATTTTCTGGCATTTTTTATTGTTTTGTCTGTTGCTATAGAAATATACCAAATTAATTCTAATGATTTCCTTTTTTAAAAGTTCCAAAAACTCAGATTCTACCTTTAATATTGGTGGTTTGTAGAAATTCATCCAAAGATTCGCAAACTCATGCATAGAACTATAATATATAATATATAGCAGTTTGTGACTTTAAAAATTATGCCAGCATCCCTACCTCTCAAGAATTTCATTTTATAGTAATTTAAACCAAATTCTTCTAAAGATATTTCAACACTTTGAATCCAAACACTTACCATCTAAAGCAGTTTCATACTTTTTCAGTTCTTTGTACAGTTTCTTTGAGTTTTCTTCAAGCCTAAAAAGAAAAAGCAAGAAAACACCCAAGTTAAAGGGGCAACAAGGACTGTAGAGAGAAAATTTCTGAGCTATCAGGTCAATATTTGGCTTAACATCTTCTTTGACATACTATTTTCTTAAAATGTATGGATAAACTATCAATTTCAGCATTAAGAAGTGTAAATTAAGTTCAAAGCTTCTATAAAGGGAGTCCCACTTATAGATTTTTAAGATCCACCACGTTTCAAGAGGAACATCCGCTGAAATAATATTCATCCATTGAAGATAATAAAAATATATGTTAGCCTTGATGAAATATCCAAACTTAAATATATTTTGACACTGGTCGATGATTGTTGAATGGCCCCCCTGCACTAATTGTTGCACCTTTAAAATATAATATTGATTCTAATATGTCAAATATATGACCTCAAATTTTATTCTGGCCATTGCCAAAGACCTCAATTGCTACACGATTTCGGTCTTTTAACAATAAACAGAATAAAATTTCCGGTCATATATTATGCCATAAATCATAAAATTTTTATTTCTTTATTCCTTAAAATATATGTATTATACGAGGATTTGTGTCTACAAAAACAATTAATCGTGAATCTTCTTCCATGTAGGAAGGGAATCATCCTTGAGAGATTTTGATTCTAGTTTGAATAACATGGTCAGGGCTTCGAGTCTATTGACACATCTAGCTTAATTGATGTACAAAATTGAAGTCTAAGTATATCATATTGGCAAAGAATGTGCCATAATGATATTAGACCTACTGGTCAAAATATAATTATGAACCAGCTGTTACATGTCTGCATGTATGTTATTTGTATGTAAATGCTGAACAGATCAACTGGGCCATATCAGAACTGACTTCAAATCTCACAGTCTAATACTCTGTATTATCCCTTTCTCTGTTTTACTGTAACATGAAATATAACTTACTGTTGTATTCTTTTGACCTCTCTTTCAAATTCTCTCTCCTCCTGCAAATACATTAGAATAATACACACTTTAAATGAACAATTTTAAGAATTTAAGACGCTGAAACTGCAGTACACGTACACTGAACTCTTTTCTTAAGGTCAGGGTGCATGATGGGAAATTTTCTGCATTCCTCAATTGAGTCACATGTTATTTTTCAAACAAGAATCTCTCCTTCCCTTCATTGTCTATATCTTCCAGTTTTTCACAAGAAGTGCACTTATGTGCCTAGAAAAGACTTGTGAGAAGAATGTTTTAATAAAGTGTATAAAAACAAGAAAATTCAGTGAAAAAAATCAGAAAATTTTCGGAAATTTTTTTCACTGAATTTTCTCATTTTTTATACATTTTACAAAACAAACCTTCTCACAAGGCTTTTCTAGGCACAGAAGTGCACTCTTTGTGCAAACTTGGAAGATGAAGACAATGTGGGGAAGGAGTTATTCATGTTTGAAAAATAACATGTGACTCAATTGAGGAATGCAGAAAATTTCCCAACATGCACCCTGTCCTTAATGTACATGTACATGTACCTGTATGCTACTAAAAAGTTCCAGTTACATACCGATACATTCCAATTATGATACTGGCAGTGGCAAAACATTTGATACATGTGATAACAGGGTAAATGAATAATAAAGTAGTTATGTGTCCAAACAGCAAATGGGCACCCCCAGAGAGAAAGTTTAACAAGCCAGATACTGGACATGAAAGGGATAGATCGAGTGTGCTAAATTCAGTGGCACATGTGGGAATCGAATCCAGGAACTTCCTTGTTCCTTGCTATATCATTCGAGCCACTAAGCTAGCCATTACAGCTGGATTGTAGCAATCGAGGGTCATTACACCCCCTCGAGGATGACTCCGATTGTCATCCAGGATATACATGTAGACTAGGGGGAATCAACCCATCATGAATGTATTTTTCCAGATAATACTGCATTATGGTCTTTTGATTACATTAGGCGTGAGCACCATCTATCCTATATATGAAAGATGGTGCTGACTTTTTATTTTTGGATGAATTTTTTCAAAAAAACAAAACAATGACTTACTGTTGTGCTGATTGCTCTTTTCTCGATCTTACTGCGCCTAAATGGATTCCTGGAATGTTCAAATTGATAATTAGTTATCTTGAATAAATGAAAAAAGCAAATAAGAATGGATAAACTGATATGAAATGAAAAAATACTCACCAACTCATTTTTATTTTTTTCACTTCCTGCTTTTCAAGGTCATACCAAGGTCAAAAGTCAACAGAAAATAAATCTACATTTATCAAGGTATTTCCATTGTATGGTATATTAGTACTTTCCTGGACGATTCTATGTGTTATATTCTCACAAAATATCAATGTATACTGGTCTTTCACCATCTATATAAGTCAAATATCATCAAATGAAAATATTGGTCACGTGATATTATGGACAAAATGGCGGCCCGAATCCAGAAAGTCGCTCGAGCAGCGTTTGATACTTTTCAGAATAAACTGCAGCGAAACGTCCTGCATGATCAAATGTCGATATTAAAGGCACTAGTGAATAGTATTACACCAGAAGATCTAAACTTCGACAACGATCTTGTGAAAAACACTGATGTTTTCTCAATGAGAAATCCAACTTCTGCCCCAGTGACGTATGTGAATATTTGGGAGACAGACGTTTTCTCAATAGGCATATTTGTGTTGCGAAATGGTGCTACAATACCGCTCCATAATCACCCAAATATGTATGGACTCTGTAAACTCTTACATGGAAAGGCACGGATACGGTCGTTCACAGAAATAAAAAATCGCGACCCGCCCCAGGTAGTTCTAGACAAGGTAAAACAGTGGCAAAGTCAGTACTTGATAGCGACAAAACAACAAGCTGATAATGTAATAGACAACAATGGCATGTGTGAAGTTGAACCAGTCAAAGGAAACATACATGAGATAACTGCCATCAATGGACCGATGGCTTTTCTTGACATTCTTGCACCCCCTTATGACCATGATCACGGAACCAGAGAGTGCTCATACTTCAAGCAAGTGGAGATAGATGCAGAGACTCAGAAAACTCTCGGTACAGTTAAATGGTTGATGCTGAGAGGTCAGCCAGAAGATTTTTGGTGCGATAGTGCCCCTTATAGAGGTCCTGATCCGAACCCATATCTTGTTGGAATATAAAGATGTACCTAATGATTTTGATGGCGTTGGTACATGGATGTACTAGAGTTGCAATGTTTGCTAGGCTACTTATCTATGTTTGGACTGCTACCCTGGTTTACATTTGCTGAATTACCATATCGCATGTATGGAACATTACTATCATTAACAAATCCATTCAATAAATTGCCTAAGACTGAAGAGATTTGTTCCTGACTCTTAAGAGTTCTAGGCACAGTGCATAATTTTTATTGTTATTTGTGTCAGTTGATGTTTTGAATACTGATTGTCTCGAGCCAAGGGTTCCTTGTTACAGTCATGTTAAAAGTCACCAAATTAAATTGGTGTCGCTTTTGGCACTGCCAGAATTGTAGAAATGACCAAAAATAAATTTAATTAATTAAACAGTGCTAAATTAATAAAGACTGATGACTTAAATACTGCAAAACGGGTAATTTTGACACCGGGGAATTTTAGCGATTTTTCAATTTTAGGGGGTTTGAGCGCGGGAAATTTAAGCGAAATGAAGATTAATCTTTAAAAATCAAATTAGCGAAATGCATTAGAAATTTTATCATTTATGGCAGAAGAATGAATAACGGACATGACAGAGGAATTATCAAAATGTAAGACTTCTAACGCACATGGTATTGGTCCAAACTACTGTAATCTCATCTGACTAATCACAAAATCACGGTAGCATTTCAATTTTTCGGTCCAAACTAATCTCAAATTACAATCCGGAAGTCGAGCACTGAACGAAAAGCTCCTTAAATACTAGTATTCATGTAGTTTCCTGGGAATTTGCAAAAGCGCCCAGTTTATTTTAGCCCCGGTTTATTTTAGCGAATTGAATTTTTAGCGAAACTATAGCGATCGCTAACAATCGCTAACAATTACCCCTCGCTAACAATACCCGTTTTACAGTAATCAAATAAGTCACCTTGAAACTGTTAGTATCACTTGTTGATAGTGTGTGACATGCTTCTGTAAAATGATATATCCATGTGTGCCTCTTTAACATATAAGATATATACACAAACACATAATACCTCTTTAAGATATATTTGATTAGTCTGATGGATTAGCATAATGGTGACTTATCTCAAAACTGTATTTACAGTTGTTTTTCTTGATGATTTTAGGTATTCATAAATTAGTGGTGTAACGCATGTACACCACTACATTAGGTACACCATGAAACAATCTCAAATTTTGAAGAAAACAAATTATGAAGAAAACAAATATTTTAGTGAAAAAAATGAAATAGCTCTATGTTTAAAAGGAATGAGAAGAGATTGTAAAATGTCAATCTTTTATTAACCGTTTATGAGTCCTAATTTTATTCTTAAAAAGAAGAGATATATGCTTAAGGTATTTGATGAAATTTTGTTATTGAAGATTAAGCCACAGAAATGTGCAAATTCAATGGAATTGAATAGGGGTGACATTTTTTTTCATTTTCATGTCACCTAAAAAATCTAAGATTAATGTCAAATGAAGTCAAAACTGTTGAATATTCTGAAAACTCACTTCCAACTCATTTCTTTCTCTTTTTGTCCATTTAAATAGTACTATTGGCGTGTAAATGGCCTAGTTACTGAAATGTATTTAGTGTAGTTTTGAAATTAGAAATTAGACTAAACTTATTTTGCACCATACGTGTATACTGTACTCTACTAGTCATATGGAAATATATATGATTAAAAACTGATCTCTTGTTAGCTGTTCATGTCATCATAAATAGGTTAAATAATCTTCCAATTATGACATGACAACCAGCCCTCATATAACTATTTGAAGAGTATCTAATGCATGTGGGTTGTCTAAAGGTTATCTTATACATGTATGCGTGTGGGGTGTCTAAAGGTTATCTTATACATGTATGCGTGTGGGGTGTCTAAAGGTTATCTAATTATGCGGATTGTCTCATTTAAAGGGTATCTAACAGATTTGGGGTGTCTATTTAAAAGGGTATCTAACTGGAGATGTGGGTTGTCTATTTTTAAGGGTATCTAATATACCCGGGGTGTATATTTTAAGGGTAATTGAACAGATGTGTGGTTTTAATTTAAAGTGTATCTTACAGATGATGGGTGTCTATTAAAAAAGTCTCTTGTAGATGTGAGGGTGTGTACAAGGGTATTCACAATATCAGCTTTAATTTCATTCAAATTACATTAAAAACAGAATGTTTATTTTTTAAAATACAATCTTGTAATTTATTATACATTATTGCCTCACATTAAAAACATCACATTTCACTAAAATTGGAATTATTTTACAGTTTTATAATAGATTTTACACTGCATACAGTCGTTAGTTTCATCTCATAAAGTATAACATATTTCAACAATTGCTATCTAATAACAAGTAACTCTAATTTGAATGCAAATATAGCATAATACTCTGACAAATGTAAATAAAGTGTTAACAAAGCACAGACAAAAATTAAACAAATAAAATTGTTTATTCATGCAGAGACAAAATAAATAAACATTTATGTATCTCTGTTTTACATTTTTCTGAGATATATTACAATTAGACTAGAGATTTAATTCTACTTTCATTTCTAAGTAAGGGTAAGTTGAACTCTATAAAAATGGCTCAACCTCTAACTAGTCCTAAAATACCCCATTAAAAATAATACAAAGTTTTAACTTTAGACTAAAGTTTCTCACTAATACACTTGTAATAGGCCCACAGGACCTTTTTGAAAGTGGGGTACATAGAAAAATGCATTCAAATAATGAATTATGAAATGAAAAATACTCTACTTTCTTCTTAGTATTTGTAACTTTAGACTACTTACCACATTCTCTACTAGGTAAGACATTTTCTTTGTTTTGATAACTTCACAAAATCAACATACAAAATTACAAAAATATGGTTTCAAAATTGTTTATCTATTTGACTTTGAAAATGTGATTTCTAGGGTGGGTAGATTCCCTGAATAGAGGGACCAGGTTATAAAATCATAAAAAGTGAAATACAGTAAAATCTGTCTCAGTGAACACCTCTCTCTAGTGAACACCTGTGTCTAGCGAACACCCATTCTCAGCACATAGTCCACTGACTTCTTTATAAAATCGCCTCTCTGTAGTGAACACCTCCCTACAGTGAACACATTTTTGCAGCTCCATAGGTTTTCACTGTACACAGGTTTTACTGTACATTGAATAGGTAATATATTTTATGAACTTTTTTTCACTCATCTTAAATGGTATAATTATCAAACTCAAAAAGGATAGATGAAAACTGATCCTTTCAATCTATAAATTTTTCAAGTTTAGAGGACCTTTTTGTATGTCTGCTATGTTATCTAACCCGATTTGGCCAATAGCCACCTGATGGTGAGACTGACACAGTTAATAATGACGTATTTACAAATCGTAACAATAGGACTTTGATAAACATTTGCTTTATTTAAAACAGAAACTGGAATAAATCAAAATACCAATATGTACTAACTTTGTTAACATCTCTAAATGAGCTAGAATACTTTACCTTTTGTTATGTCAAGTACAGCTACTCAATACAAAAAGTTGTTTTATGCTTCATATACACAAATATTTATCACTAGAGATACTTCAACTATATCTTTTGAGTTTCCTGTGTTTGTTTTGATTATAAGACCACTCATAGTGGCAAACATCCTGACCTCTCCAGTATTCTATGCTTCTTTATTTAAATGCATTTAAATGGAGTCAGTGCCTCTCTGATTCCAAAGTACACCTTTGAACAAGGCATTAACATGCAAAATGTCACCACCTGCCATTTGTTACAGACACTGAATGCCAACCGCTAAACACCATCCACAAAAAAGTTGGAGACCATAACAATATGTCACCACTTATGGGTGGTGACATAAAAAATGGCACCACTTGATATACACACATGGTGAACTATGTACTTCATGGACATCCATAAAATGGATACGCACATCTAGTTTTTATTTGTCCAAATGTCACCATGTAAGGCAAAAAAACACACTTTGGCCTTCTATTAATTTTTGTTCATTCTTACATTTTCCAAACAGCACCCAAAAGTGTTACTTTCTAACAATGAATATATTTTTTTCTCAAGAGTTATAAAGCATCAAAAACTTAATGCTGATACATCTAATCAAGAACTCCTAGCTCTATTTTTCGCAAACATAATGCCTTATTAACATTGGGACATAAAACACAAAAATAACACTAACACACTAAAATATAAAATAAAATATATGTAACACTATCAACAATAAAATATACATACTGCCTTTAAAAGAGGGGTCCGTATAATAATACAATTCTTTTATATCATGGAGAGATATCATTCAGCAGTTTCAATCATGATATACTAAGCTATTCCTATTTTCAAAGCAATCTTTTCAAAAAAGCATCCCTTGCAAAATGCTTACCTTGCAAATTGCAATAATTATTCTATTATCCAAAAAGAGCTGGGATACTATAGTATCTGATTATATATATCGAGGATTATGAAATTATTAGATGCAAAATTGTCACAATTCATCTGAATCGAAAAAGGGGACATTACCTTTTTCAGAATCATAGACATGACATGGAATGTCGATAGCATAAAATAGAATGACATCTTTTAGAAAGTTATTCTCGACTTGTCTCTAGTCTTTGATTCAAACGGAATTATATAGGCCTATATGTTTTGTTTCATATATATGTTTTGTTTCTTCATTGCCAACTTTCTGATAAGAATCACAACATTAATTCACATTGGCCTTTGCTTTGACTTTGAAAATAAGGAGTTTACATAATTTCCACAACTTTGAAAATAAGGAGTTTACATAATTTCCACAACTTTGAAAATAAGGAGTTTACATAATTTCCACTTGCCATATTGAAGGAGCATCTTAAAATTCGAGTAGATATATATCATATCCAACCAAGGATATATATGTTATGCATCAATGGATATATATCATTACCTTGTTGTATGTATATCCCGGTTTATAAAACTCCATCTCCCCAGAGAATACATATCATATCCATTATCTCAACTCAGGTGGATATGTATCCTTTATAAACTGGTAAAGACCTTTTTTGATTCAAATTATCAGATCTATTCTGAGTATTCCCTACCTTAGGATATAAGAACAAATTGAACACCTTTACATACCCTAAGACTAAATAAAAGAACCTATTAGTTAGAGTAAAGAAAATTGAATATTTTTCTCAGCCAAAAAGGTGTTCAATTTGAACTTAGTTTATTACAGTATTAATACCTCTTCACATAAAATGCTCATCCTGACATAAAATGCTCATCCTGACATAAACATGATAAATGGCCACTTGTTTTGTATTATGTATGTTTGTCTATTTATTGTTCATGAAAATATTTGCGTAGTCAAGTGTAGTGTGACTTTTTCCTATAAAATTGGATTTCGTTTACAAGGCTTTCTAATGCATACTTATACTGCTGTGAAATAATATGGTACAGTCAAATGTTTTGATATTACTGTCCCAAAGCAATGAATGCAATAATGTCACTGTACTCACACTTTTAAAATAACCCCATCAGCACATCTTTCTGTTTTCCTACTAGCAATGTTTCTCGAACTTATGCCTTTCTTATTTTGTTCATACTTATTTTAGTTCTACAAGTACACTGTATTTATTACTAATAGTATATCATTAGTTGTTGTCTACTCACGATGGGAGTAGCCTGACCCTTTATACATTTTATGACTCATTTTAAGCTCAATATTTGAAACAAAGAAATTGATTACTTTACAATTCCAAAATAATTCAGGAATACATTCCTGCATAAGGTGTGGTAGTTGGATTTGCATGAAATAAATATTGTGGATTTCTGGATTATTATATTACTGTCATATTCCTCAGTCTCTCATTAGTCTATGTCCTACATGTGACTGGGAAATATGAGTCTAGTATTACTTGTGAAAGATGCACAGGTAAGTATGTGAAATATTTGTTTTATCATATTACTACCAAATCCATATGTTTAAACATAAATATTTACATTAAACCTTTGCTTATGTACCATTGTTTTAATCTTGATATACAATTAAAGGAATTAACTTATTTCGAAAATGCTGAAGAGTGTTGAATACATGTAATTCAGTGAATACCTGTGACACTTTCAGAAGATGATACCTAAGGTTTTGTGGAATATCACGTGTGCAAGATGCACCAGTATTCACATCATTAGAATTATTTATCCATATTATATTCACTGGTTGTCTTATTTGATAAGAACCACCAATGAATATCGCCTGACATGTGACCCAGTTTTGACCAATCATTTAATTGCAAGCTCGACAGTGATATAATAATGGCGAATGTCTCACTTACATTCATTGGACCCAATGAGATATTTCTCAAATAATATCATTGATTAACCACCACTGATGAAATGAAGTGAAAACAGTACTTTGATATCATTTGCCCCTGTAATACACAATCTTCAATTATTGCTAATGTATTTTTTGTCTTGTGAAATTAGGTTTAAACCCAGCGATAATATCACGACAAAGATCTCTGTCCCGCTTATCTCCCCAACCTCCATTTGGCTTTGGCAGACGGATTTTAGGAACTGGACTCAGGCTAAAAGTGAGTGTATCAGGAAATAGGAATTGTTCGTTATTTTTCAGTAGAGTGTTAATTTGATTTACACGATCCCTTGGATTACATATTTTGTGTTTAGCGTGTGTACCACTGAAAATAAAAAATCATAATTCATGAATTAACAAAGAAATACGTATTATAAAATCAAGTCTAAATGGACTTGTACTTCAAACAGTTGCTGTAATTTAAGCAATTTATCTCGCTTTAAAATACATTTTATAATGAAATGTTTGTTCAAAATTTAAATCTCAAATAAAATAATGAAAGTGATTAATTCTTTCTTTGAATCCACAATGACACAGTGGTGTATCTTTTAAACTTAATATTTTATGATGAAGTGTATTTTTAAAATTAAATCTCAAATAAAATAAGTTTAGTGTCAGAATGAAAGGATTACATATTACAATTTAAAAAATTTACATTTTTATGATCAATATTTTATCATCCCAGGTTTTTGTCATGAATATGAAAACAATTGAATCTACGATATTGAAAGTGACATTTCTCAAAATGACTCCCTCAGGATGACAATCTTACCATTCTCCTATATGGTAGACTCTCGGGGATTTCACATATAGAACTTTAAGTGGTGACGGCATACACTTCATGCCTACATACTGCAATGTCCAATCCCAGTTATAGTCATCGAACTCGCAGAAATCCTGAAAATATATTTCAATTTCAAATTATTTGTTTAACATAAACTATTTATCTATGCAATAAAACACATTCTAATACTTTTAAACCAATTTACAAATATTATATATTTTGTTTCATGAATATAAATTCAGTTATGACGATACAAATACGCTGATTACTTAGGGCTACTAGAAAATAGAGATGATACATAGGCAAGGAGTAATAGAAAACAGTATCTTACGATCTGCAAGCACCTAAAACAATGCTAGGAAAGCTCTCAGTTCAATTTATGTTCTCAAAGCATGAATTCCGAGAAAATTCTGCAAAAATCAACAGAAATTCAATATTCTGCAAATTTTTGAAAAACTGAAAATTCTGCATTTCTGCTGCTGCGGCACAGAAAAACAGAATTCTAGTAGCCCTGCTAAAACTGAAACAATATTTTCCAAATAAATACTGGATACAAGAATACACGGATCTTTAACATTCACAGGGTATGTCTCGAAAATGTGCCTTTGAAGCATAAATAAAATTGGACAATTGGTATTTGAGTTATTGCCTGAATGTATAAACTTGCAAAGGCATTCCCAAAAATATACGATGAGAACTCTTACTAAAATGTGTTATACAAGTAGACTTACTTTTGCACAGCTGCTAATTTTGTTCCATACATTTTTTGTAAGGGCCATCCCCATGTTATGTTTGGATGACACCCATAAACTGGTTTCAACCTGAAAAAATACATAACATCACTATAAAAGCCTAAAAATCACATATACCCTGAGTCATACTTTAATCAAATAGAAGTATCGAGGAACAGTATAGCTGAATTCAAACAATTTAACTCAGTGACACAGTCATGTGACCACAGACTACCAATCTGCCAATCAGTAACTTGGTTTGACACATGATGGAGACACATATTGGAGACACATGATGGAGACACATATTGGAGACACATGATGGAGACACATATTGTCTGGTAGGATGAGCTTTCATTTGATTGAAGACTCTCACTTCCTAGCAGCACTTTTTGTTAAGTTTAATGCATTAAATGTGGTACATCCATCACTGGTAAACTAGAAATAGGCAAAATTTGCTTTAGTTAAGATGTTCTTAAAAAAAAGTGACTGTGTCAAAGAGTTAATTGATTAATACTAACAAAAGGTTCACTAACAAATGATTAATGAAGCAATATTACAATTGAACAAAGCAATGTTAGATGAGAAGTCATAATATTAACAGTGAAAATTGTACATGTATAGTTTTATTTAGTGTATGTGTGTGTGGGGGGGGGGGGGGTTAAATGCCATTTCATTTTTGTAAACGATAAATCAAAACATTTCTGAAAACAATTTATGAAATACAGATTTTTAGATTTCTGTGTAACAAAGTGAACATATCAGATTGCTCATTTCACTCAATTTACTCAGTTTGTCTTAAAATTCATTTTGGTAAAATATGCCTATGGTTTTCTACAACTATTTAATATTTGAACATATTTCATCTGAAGGTTAATTTGACATGCAAATCATCCTGGTATCATAAGCCGCCCTGATCTCATAGGCAGAAACAATTATTTATAGCTGATTATACAATACATTGTTAGATGTGCAGATTAAACCAACTATAGCAGATCAATATCAATAAGTTTAACATTAGTTGTTTTCAAACAATCAATAGGTTATAAACAATTTTTCTGGTGTTTAGCATGCAAATAATATAAAGTATGTATCCGGAATGATATTACAATACATTATTAGTATTGTTTATGCAAAACATAAATGATCCATTGACCATAAATAAATGAACATAAATATCTATAACATCAATTTTATATCTACATGTATATTCAAGATTATGAATCTATCAACATCTTAAGATACAGGGTGACACAAAATTGCAACACTCTAATTTTGGAATCTCTTCCTCTATTATATTGATGGAATCTTAGATTTTTATATAATGAGTTCAATGCATGAAACAAACATGAGACAAGGCATTAACATGTAAAATGTCACACCTGCCATTTGTTACAGATGCCGAATGCCAAACTCTGAACACCGACTGCTGGACACCTTCAAAATGTTGGAGACCATCACAATGTATCCACATGTGGTTTGGACATAAAAAAGCTCATGATGTATCTTCATAATGTATCTTCACAAGAAAATTCATAAAGATCCTAAGATAATTAAAAAATAAAAAATTGTACCAAAATTAGAGTACTGCATTTTTCATAAATAAATAAAACAATATAGCCTTTAATTTACCATTTTCCACAAACTTAAGAGATAGAGACTGGAGTAACATTTTATTGGGTTTATCTAAGACCTTTTCTGCATTTGATTTTTCCAAGAAGTGTCATTTCTGATTGATTCTCAATTTCAATTGAAGGAAGTGACCTAAATAAACATCCTCCTATCAGAATTATAATTTCCTAATTCACATTTTTGTGAAAATGAGAAATTAAACTTAATGTAGACATATGGAACTTCAACATATTCAAATGTCATGTGTAAAATAAGAACGTTAGATTTGACACAGATTTACCGTTGAAAAATCCATACATTTTCTTATTTTGCAAAATAGTTTTTGAGCATATTGAAAATGCAGAAAGAGCAATTCAACTCTCAATTTTTCTAAACATTAAAATGCCAAAAATACACCAGGTACAAATATTAGTTTAAAATTAGAACTTTTTTCATATGTAATCACATAAATTATTTATAACAATTTGGTTGGTTATGATGGTACATAGGATATATTCAAAATTGCATCTTTAAAATTTTATATAAATGTAGATATTACAATATGTATGTAACTTTTTTTGAAAAATTTCATCATACAATATTTCATTCATAAAAGTGCATGAAAAAGACACTTAGGGGTGTGTATAAACTGCAAGATAGCTATTGAGAGAGACATTGACCCAGAATCCCACAGAAAGAAAGTTGATGAGCTAAATAGATTAAAAATGAAAAAATCTCATATTTTTAAAAATGGCACTTCAGACCATATTATACAGATTAAGGGTGACATTTAAAAGTAACATGTTACAAACAAGTGCATTCCAAATGAGCCCAATCCATTCATGCCACATAGATGGCACTGAGGTCACACTTACATAGGCAACCGTCTGGGGTTTACTCGTAGGCTGTATATGGAGGAACTCTAGCAGCCCTGACAACAGACCCTGGCATAGTAGCAAAACACAAGGACATTATGCACCAACCATTAAAACATGAGGGGTGACTTCAACAAGCTAAATACTTTACTCCGAAACCACTGGACTCAATGATTTTTTCTCCAGTCAAGCCTTTTTTCAAACAATCACTGGGCTTTACTATTACGAACAGTTCTAGAATAAGTGCAGGCACAAGTTTAACTCAAGCTGGAAACACTCTTTTCCTTGCAAACTGGTAGGCCTGGACAAGGGAAGGTCCTCCCCTAAGTTCTAATGGTGGGTCCCTCATAAAACAGGTCATGCACAGAGAACCATACATTATCATATCTTTAGTTTACAAAATGAAATTGTATAGAAATCAAAACCTGAATTTTAATAGTTTACTTAATCAAATTCTGAATTTTAAAATTAATAATCATACATTTTCATAACATTATGCTTTGAATTATCAACATAATCAATGTACCATTCCCCATGCCATTTTAAGAGAAAACCCTTGCTTTATTGCAAAATAAGACTTAAATATAGAAAATAAATTAAAAGAACCTATTTTAAAGTAAGAAATGGCCAGCCATTAACCATTGTGGCAAGGTAGTGGTACCCAAAAGGTATGAGATATTAGAAATATCCATGATTATTTTTAACCATTTTAAAGGAGCAAAGAAAATTCCATGCCAAGCACACAACTTAAACTTGATTCAGTTCCAGATAAGGGGTGTCATGATTCAACAAAATATAAATAAAGAACCATAGAAAACCCTGTAATTCTCTACATTTATTAGACAAATCATATCAAGCATGCCCCAATCTAGCTATTTTTATCGATTAACAGATTCAGTAACCATTTTGAAATTTGGTTCAAACATGATTCTCGGAACCACGTATCGTCAGTACACAACTCTGGCCAGCACAACACAGGCCATCAACTCTGTTGCTTTCTACAAAATACATGATGTCTGCGATGGGATGGAAGGGGTTTGAGAGAGACCATTTTAAGAAACAAACTTGCCATGCATTCGACACCTAACCAAACCAACCATAACCCAACAACTGCATACAAAGCTGTTTACAGTTGCTGTGTTCTCCCCAGCAATCTAAGCTGAAGCTAATTCATAAAAAACGTATATGGAATATTCTGACGAAACTGATATTGTCAACTAAATGTAAATTCTTTTTAAACAATTGATTATTTTAATGCTGGGGAGATAACTGAATATGGATATACATGTATACATAATATGTGTTATTATTATGGCAACAATACAGAAAATGCACAAACACAAAGCAAATACAGATGAATAAACATATAAGTTCTAAAAAATAATTTCAATATATTAAAGCAAAATGAACCATTTCATTTCAAAACTAAAAGTAACAGAACTGACAAATACAAACATAGAAATACACATATAGAAAAATATAGATGATTTATAGCTTTTTTCTCAAAAAAGAAACATTGCGAATCAAAAATATGAATATTTATAAAACTTAATTATGACTCCTTAATATTCTAAATGACAGATGTGATTGTTATCAAAGGATTTAATAACAATTGTGTTGACGAACAACAAAGCATTTTAACATGATGTACAAATCATTAACAACTGATACAGATTACATGCATTATTGAGCAAAATAAAACATATGCTGTTGACGTTTTCATTTGAAAATCTCTTTATGTACATTTCCAGAAATACAATTTTGTTTTGCATATTTCAGTTTGCACGATTTATTTAATTGAAACAATCTATGGTAATTTGGCACAAATGAGCATTAAGAATATAGAAGTTAGAAATTGTCGATCTGCATTATATCTTTACATACTAAAAAATATCTACACATATAATTTAATAAAATATCATAGGTCTCTAATGAGATAACATATGTTAGATGGTATTTGCACACAGATTTGTCGATCGTCAATGTTTATTTGCAATTTTGTTACCCTTGGCTCATCTATCCCAGATTCTCACTTCAATCAGATAATCAAAAGTGTAAAACAGAAACCAAACGTGCATGCAAATAAATAGACTTCACATACCCTTGCAGAAGAGGCTGCATAATTAATGTTTTTGTCATAGTTTCCTAATGTTAAAATATCACAGTCGGGGCAGCGTCTGAAAATAATGAATGACAAAATATTATTTAATTATATAATGTGAAATATGTGTCAAAATATAATGTGTCAAATAAATATAATATAATTTTTTCTTAAATCTGAATTAAACAGTGCAATTAAACAAGAAGATATTTTCTGTTTGGTTTAATGGTATGAAAACAAAACAGTATTTGTCAAGGACAGCTGTTGTTGCGGGAAATCAACAAACAGTACGTCACTGACGAAGGATGTAGTCATATCTGAAAGCTATGAAAGAAAATAAGTTATGCAGGTTAGTTAGAGGAACCATATATTATTAAAACAGTATTTGCTGGACAATGAAGTTTCTCTTAAAGTGAGATGTTAATTTAAATAAATAAATTTATATTTGAGATGAGAAACCTCCCACTGTATCAAACATGTAAGATAAGCTTATATTCTATTGGTCTATGTTCCCTTTATATTCTTTATCTGTCTTGACTTTCTCCCTATAATGTTTTATCCCATAGTTGGAAGGATATAAATCGAATATCATGTGAAGATACATTTGATATGTGGATCAAGATATCATATTTTAGCAACTCCCCAAACCATTGAATATAATTTCTTAAAAACTGATATTTGAGTTTATATACAACAGTTTCAAATTTTTTATCAATATTCACTGGGTAATAATTTCCAATGGGATAAATGGACAATCCTATGTTCTTGAAAAAAATATCAATTTTATCCACTCATGGATATCAATATCTTATAATATCCTACAATACTCACTTGATCCTCATATCTTGTAGCTGTTTCATAACTACCAAGAGGTCATCTACAACCATGTGGTCTTCCTCTAAGAACAATACAAGTCCACTGTGGTTGCGGGTGACACGCAGGTCTTCAAAGACATACTTCGCCTAAAATCAAATAATTAAATGGTTGATTCAGTGGTTTAAGAGGTAAGTTGTAATTCTAAATAGGTTATTAGAAATACAAGTCATTGACATGCAAAATGTTACTACCTGCCATTTGTTACAGACACCAACCACCAAACACTAAATACCAGATACCAACTGCCAAACACCAAAGATTCTCCATAAAAAAGTTGTAAACTATAACAATATGTCACCACTTGTGGTAGTGACATAAAAATTAGAACCATGGCCAATATGATCAAAAATTTTATAGGGCCTTAATTGATGATTTGCGATCACCGAATGGATTCTGTCTTTTAGTGACGTCACAATTAGGTCACACAGCTTTAGATGCTTGATTTTGAGCGATTATCTTCTATATTTCGTGCTTTATTGATTTATTTTTCACGAAAGCGTTCTATTTGACTAGATCAACATTCATGCTAAGCACATACCAAGTCTAAGGTCTTACTGACATGATTTAGATAGCGGTTTAGCGCCCCCCGATTTTGACAAAAACGGGGGGTATGAATTTCACCCAAACTTCGCATATATATAGACATACTCATGATCTAGTCAAATAGGCATACCTGGTAAATATCCGACCCATGGTTTTTATATAAGAAACGACAATATTTTTAGCTCAAAACTGCCACGTGTCCGCCATTTCGTGATCCCATCATGTCTAATATCATTTCTATATGACGTCATACCAATAAGACGAAATACGTGACAACAGTATCCATAAACAAAATTCCTGAATTCTGATCGCTAAAGGTCAATTAATGGACCTTTTTGGGCATTACTTGGCCTTTTGGACCTTTTTAAGCCTAATTATCAAAAAATGGGCCATTTTTAAAAAATTTGGGCTCAATTTTTGAATTTTTTTTTATGTAAGCACATTTTCTGATTTGAAACGTGGGTCCCTCCCCATGATAGATTCTGGACCCACCAGTGGTGCATAATATAATATATATACATGTACATACAGTAAAATCTGAGGAATGTGAATACCACTGGAACCAACAAAGTGTTCAGATTGGCAGGTGTTCACATTTTCAGTATTTTTTTATGTACTACTAAAATACATGTTCAGATTGTACACAACAGCCACTCAACATTGGGTGAAGTTTTAATAACAAATATGTTGGGTGAAGGTTAAATTAGACTAAATAAATACATTGGGTGAAGGTTTAATAAGTATATTGAAATCAATAATTTTATGGATTCAATTTGCATACCTTCCATATCCAATGGTGCTTAATCTGGCAGTATTTCGATTCCCTGTAATGACCATATTTGTCAGGATATTCAGCATTGTTGCATTTTCTCTTTAATGCTCTGGAAATACAGAAGGAACAATAATTCAACCATGGCCAAATAATCTCATCCAATCAAATTGCATATTTTCTGTTCATTATTTCTCAACTATGAACACTTAAAATGATATATGACTTTTTATACAAGGTGGGACTGAACTCAGACAACTCAGTGCAAAATCTATCTTCACATTCATTTTTGTCCATTTTTATGTCACCATCTGAGGTGGTGACATTGTTAAAGTCTCCAACATTTTTGTGGATGGTGTTCGGCGTTCAGTATTCGGCATTATGTTTTGTGAAGAGAGCCAAATAGTTGAGTTGCTATTATGAATTTAAAAAACTAACTTGTTGAATTATGAAATGCTGCGATTTATCAATTTGGCTTATGAAGTTGGTGTAAATGCTTATTTCATAAATTTTTTACTAATTAAACAGACAATAATCTTATTTTCCATTAAGTCAATGGGATTCTAAATGAATCAATCTTTTCCATGCACATTCAGATTCAGATATTTATTACTATTTTGAAAAACATACATGATATTCAATACAACATGTCGCTCTCAACAGCATATATGTTGGTTTTAACTGGACAGAAATGGGCCAGTGCCACCAAAAGGTAAGACATGAACATTACATCTTGAAGCACATAACAAAGAGTTTGTGGTGATTTCAAACAAAAGCTTGAGCTCCATGAAATATATCCCACTGTTTTGAAAATAAATGTAGAATGTATTTGATAGCTCATGATGTGAAAAAGAAACATTAAGATAGAACTTATGACAGACTGATATCTTGGATGATGTTTATTAAGCAATTTAAAAGAAAAATTATTGAGCAATTCAGTTGAAAAATGTATTGTAAATAGACAAAGACTTCTTTTTTACAATGATTGATCTAAAATTGAAATAGCTATTGCAATATCTGGAAATTGAAATGTTCATAAAGATGTTGTTAGTTATCACTGATCTACACAGGATTTTTTCTCAGGTGGGTGCATAATTCTCATTTTCACAATTCAGACCAAAATTGGTCAAATTATGCCCATTTTTCATGATTTTCCTCAAATGGACTTTCAGGGGTGCAAGCCTATTTTCAAAATCTCAGGTGGGTACTACGCCCACTTGCTTTAATGCTGGGGAGATCACTAGTTATATATCTCTTGAATGAGTTTTACCTGGAATCATGGGGACTATTTCATATTTTTTTAATTTTGATGCAAGATGTTGTGAACCTGTGGGCTAACAATTCACCATGGTGTGAATACTTTTGGGCAGACAAGATGGCATGGATACATGGTGGACAAAACAACTAGTTTTACACCAATCATATCATACCAAATACAAAAATTAATAAATTAAAAAATCAATGTCCAGAATTAACCACACAATGCTAATGGAGAAAGGTGAACCCATATGGCTAATATGACAGTTACTTTAGGCATTCAATGTTGATTTTTGCATTTTTTTCATTGAAATTTCTATTTCTCATAAAAGGTAAATTACAATACATTAATTATACAATGTACATATTAGGCAATGTCAAGGTTAAAAACCAGACATAATCAATTGATACTATTGTTAATTTTACAATAATCAACAGATTGTTGAAACACATTAAAATGATTGAAATAGCCACTTTATAGTGCAAATACAACTGAATTCCTGAAACATTGATCTTGAATAATTTTACGTTACATTTGATCAAATTACTAAGTTTGAACATTTCATGATTCAAATAACCAGGCAGTGGAAGCAGTGATCTCCACAGGATTTTTTCTCAAGCGGGTGCAAAATTCTCATCTTTACAATTCAGACCAAAATTGGTCAAAATCTGCCAATTTCTCATGATTTTTCAAGTGGGTGCAAATGGATTCTCAGCTGGGTGCAAGCTTATTTTCAAAATCATAGGTGGGTGCTGCGCCCACTTGCTTTCATGCTGGGGAGATCACTGAGAAGTATCTGCCTTTGGCAAAAACTATTTTGTGACATATACCTCCACATTTTGAATAAGCCTTTAATAACAAATCGTTAATTTAATTGTTCATCACAGTTTTCTATTTCTGCAAAGTTATCAATTTACAATAATACCACAGTTTATTTTATAGTCATATTTCATTATGAAGAGTATTTTTAAAATCTAAGCCTCACAGATAATAAGATTTGTGTCAAATTGAAATCATTATCCTTTTTAGGATCAATATTTTATCATCAATTCACAATGACAGAATGGTAAACATTTTACGATTAAATTATCAGGCCTCGCACTTAACTTTTTTTATCAGGTAGTTATTTCACTACTTAGTGAATTTTCCAGGTAGCTATTTAAGAGAACCAGATAGTGAAGATTTCGATCTTTATTCTTATGACTTACCAGTGCAATAATAAGATATTACACTGTAGTGACCTCCCCAGCAGCAATTGCGCTGCACCCACTTGAGATTTTGGTAATAGACATGCACCTACCTGATAATCAATTTGCACCCACTTGAAAATGAGAAAAACATGAAACATGAAAAAATAGGCATATTTTTCCAAATTTGGTCTAAATTGTGAAACAAGAATTTTGCACCCACTTGTGATAAAATCCTGGGGAAAACACTGCACTCTATTAGATATATGGAAGAAGTAAAAAATCCCAGGGAATTTCATGTATGGCAAAGTTTTCTTGCCAAATATGACTAATTTGCAACATCAGAACAGAGTATAATATTGGAATGGATTGTTATTGGAGAGTTTAGGGTAAAGATCGCTAAATGAACCAAGAATCAATAAACAAATAAAATCAGTAAACAATATTGCAAAATTCCCTAGTGGAGCCCCAGGAATTGAATGATATGTTCTCCCCGATTATCTTTATTATTTCCGCTAGAGACCGTTCGATATTGATCTAATATTATACTGAAAGATATTTGTTTAATGATAGATCTTCATTTTCCATGTAAATGTCGTAAGAATAACGAGAAATGTTAGAAAGAAAGAGGAAACGTCAAACTAAAGTTCATCACCTTGACTGTCATGTTGACATGCGCAAAAAAGCTGCGCGAAAGTCTACTTGGTTGAATGCAGAAACGACTCTAAATTTGAACATTTCTTTCTTTCATTTTGTAATATGGTATATTTTTATGTGTTTTCAGGTATAGAGTATAGTAGATTAGTCTTCCCAGTGGCCTTATACTAACGCTTGTGGTGGTGGTTTGTTTTACAGAATATAGCAGCTATACCTTGAGATACGCAACAAATTGCACGATTTATAGCATGTGATCAGTGTTGCTTGTAGATGTAGTTTTGTAACATTAACTGATTTGCCTAGTGTAATAATCAAAGTGTGTATTAACAGTGTCCAGTATTCACACGTGAACTCAACTCCCGAATGAGTATTGGTGATTTATAGAAAGATATCGGTACAGAGTATCCCCATATACATTGACTATTAGGGTGTTATAAGATTAATTGATTGGCACTAGTAGTTATAGTGCTTCAGCAGTAGTCATAGTGTGTATTAACAGTGTTCAGTATTTACACGTGAACTGGAGACTAGAATGAGTATCAGTGATTATCGATACAGAGTATTCCCATATACATTGACTATTATGGTGTTATAGCATTAATAGATTGGCGTTAGAATAATAGTATGTCACAATTTGCTGTGATCAACAATTACAATAAGAACCAGACAGAATATGAACCAGAGCGACCATATAGGAGCCTAAGATACCAGCATACCAGCACAATATCATTATAGAGTGTAACATTATACCGTGATCATTATGATGGCATATCATTCAATGATTGACATATTGGAGTTATTATAGTGTGGTACAATAAACCTTGATCACTTGCACAGAAGGCCAGATTGAGTAGTCGATTATATGTTATATAGAAGGATTGTGCTGAGTTTAGTAGTTGAGCAAAACAAAGCCTTCATTGTACCGGAGCGACGATAAGAGTTACCGTTACCAGCAAACATTAGAATATCGCTAATATTATTACAGGGTGTCCCAGTATACATTGACTGATTATTATCATTGAATCAGCAACATTCTGTCTGATATATGCACATTTGTATGGGTCATTATGTCCAAATGAGATATTATAACTGAAAACTTACCACTAAGTAGTATCTATGCATTCATAGCATAGGGAAGTTGTTAGAACAATATTTTAAGTATGTAACCGTTATAGGTTAATGTTAGTTCATGAGTTATTAGAATATAGTTAAGTGTTAGGACTTGTAGAACGAAGAGTTAGTGAGTTAGCTAATTCAGATGAAAACACAGTGTTTCCACAGCCAGTAGGTAGTATAGGGATTCGCTGTGAGCCAGGACAAAGAGTTAGTGAGTTAGTTAATTCAGATGAAGACACCGTGTTTCCACAGCCAGTAGGTAGTATAGGCTATCACTGTGAGTTGTTAGGATCACTCAGTTGATTTAGTGGTACCACAAGGTTAAGTAAGGATCTCAGATAGTTTGGGTAACCAGCGTCACAGACAAGTAGAAATAGTGAGTAACCATTACTTGTCGTTATTTGGTTTCATAAATAACCGCTTTGAGAGTTCGTGGTATAACCACCCTTTTACTGTACATGTCATATATATGTATATGTTACTTTAACATTGTTTCAAAATATATTTCCATATTAAAACTACTTATATTTGTGAGTAATTACATTGGTGGCAGTAAGTATGGCAGAACCGCCCAATGACATAGATGGGGAAGTTGGTGCCAATGAGGCACTTGCAGCGGGGGATCAACCAGGCCCCGTAGTTCAGCCCCCAGCAGCACAACAGAACAGTACTACTAGAGAATACAGAAAAGCAGTCACTCCCAGGAATTTCGATTGTAAGACAACAACCTGGGATAGCTGGCTGAAACACTTTTGCAGGGTAGCAACTGCCAATAACTGGACAGAACAGACCAAAATAGTGATGCTCAGTACTACTCTGGATGGCAAGCCTCTCGAAGAGTATGAGAGGATATTAACTGAAGACGAAGATATAGATTTTAAGACACTGACAGCT